GGTATCGCTAGTTCAACATGGTGCGCTAGAAAGGTTAGTTCTTGTCTTCTTTTCTTTTCTCTTTTTCCTTCTTCCTTTTTAATTTTCTTTATTCCTATCAATACCTAATATGCGCTCAACGCATGTCATACTAAATATGATTTTGTAAATTGTTTTCTCGATGTACGTTTTCCTTGCGGTGTATCTTTCATATGACTATTCTTATTGGTAAAGCATTTATTTAAGGTTGTGCTGAATGAACGTTTCCGTGGACCTGTAGAAGCTAATAAAGCGATGCTTATCGGAGTGATTGTACATGAATTATTCCAGGTATCTCATTGACATTTTGCAACAGTTCAAACTTCAAAATCTCTCCATTTTAGGCTGCCATTCGTTGTCCGAGCCCAGCAATGGTGACTAGCGATTGGCTCTTGAAACAGTGGAGAGACTGCTTGTATGACGAAGTCCTGGGAGAACTTGCGGCCCTACGTCTCACGCCTTCGCAAGTCGAGACCGAGTTGATGCCGTATGTCGATGTAGGTTATTATTGTTTTTAGAAAGTTATGACATTCTTTATTTTTCAGGTGGTGGTAAACTGGGTCCAAAGTAATATCCCAGGCGGATCCTCTTATCCTTCGAATAACGCTGCGTATCAAATTACAAAGGTGAGCTTAATGCAATTGATAAATGGATCTGTGTTGAATCCATTATTATACGATAAGACTTGTCCAACTAGAATTCTATCATTTCTCTTTTTCTATACTCCACAAATTAGCGAATCACTCAAACTCTCGCCTATCACCAGCGACCCTCTAGCTTGAATTCCTAAACTATAGTTTCACGATTTTTTTAAAATTTCGCTTGTAAGTATTTCTTTTTTTCTTTAATAATCTTATTGTTTTAGGTTCATGACATCGAAGAGAATATCTGGGATCCTCAACTGGGCATCAAGGGCAAGATCGATGTGACTTTAGAGGTGAAAAGCATAATTTTTGCGCGACTGGAAAATTATGATTAAAATTCCAGACAAAGACTAATGGAAAGATCCAACAGCGACCGCTTGAGTTGAAAACTGGCAAGAGCGCACCTTCATCTGATCATGCAGCGCAGGTAAGTGCAACTATTT